AAAAAATCACTTTCAGACTCTCAAAATCACCAAAATTGGAGGTATGTTGTTTTCAACTTAACAGCAATATATTAAGGTTCCAGTGTAAATGCTATACATCACCATAACTATCTGTACATCATAGGAGAGACAAAAAACAGAATTACAATGCAGAGAATATGTCTATCAGGAAATAAAACCAAAAATCTAGATGTTTATGCAGCTTTTATGTCTTAACACTCCTCTTTCTGTGAATTTCCTAAGAAATTATTTTTCTTAAAAGCAAAACATGTTTAACCAATAACAGTAAAATGGTTCCAGAGAAATAGCAGAGGCAAAAATGTGTCTAAACAGCGATCTAAAAGATGACACTGTTTTTCTTTCAGCGCTACTCTCACCAAACACCCTGAACTCTACACTTAAGCATTGCCCCATCATGCTCATGGGCTTTCTATCACTGTCCTCCATGGAGGGAGTGGGGGAATTTGGCTACTCCCCCCTTGACTTCCCCCCCAGTGGGGATGGCAGTCATACCTGGGGGCCCATGAATGGAGCCCTCAGGTAAAGCGCTGTTGAAACAAATCTAAAGCTGCCTAATGACACGCACCGTGAAACTCTTCACAGGTCATTTACGCTGCTGACAGGCTGCTGCCACAGCGCTGCACACCACCTCCTCTCCGTGTGTGTGTGTGTGTGTGTGTGTGTGTGTGTGTGTGTGTGTGTGTGTGTGTGTGTGTGTGTGCATGAGACAGACATGGAGAGAGACACAGATATACAAACAGATGAGAGAGAGAGATAGCCAGAGTAAGAAAGACTGGAAAAAAGAAGCTGATGTATGTGTGATGTGTATTAGTCATACATTGGGAGGTAATCTGTGAGCTATGAAAACAGTGTTTAGCCTTTCTGCAGCATGGCCTCACAGCATGGGAAAGCGATTAGAGATGCTATCTCCTATGGCTTCTCTGCACTTAGGTTAAGGAGGCAATAGCTACCTTAGGTCGTATTTCTAAAGACGTTTAATTTATGTTTGCTGTTTTTGGAGTCTGTTTAGTGGAACAGTGGATGCCCTTGGAAAATTTTGGCTCATATTAATCGACTGCAAATGCATCGGTAATCCAGCACACTAGTATGCCTCCAGGTCTCATTACTCACTTCCGCCACTTCAATCCCATACTGGGATGAGTGCAGAAAGATGGCGTGGAGAGGTAACAAAAAGGGGAATAAATGCTACTCTTCCAGCTCCGGTTCCTAAAACAGTATCTGTACTGTAATCAGTACCTTAGATTTCTACAGTAGATTGGCAAAATTACAAGATTTTAAGGAGTGGGATATAACTGGCTTAAACAGCAGTCTTTTCACAGTCCTTATCCATACGTTTTGCAGTTTAGTGAGTGAAACAACATTTTCCTTCTGGAACAGATGGAAGTGAGGTAACTGCACTCGCAAGGCAAGAAGACGTCATGTGAACGCTGTGAAATTAAACCTGACTTGCTTGGATCATTGTAGTCATTCAACCAAATTATATTTGAGATACAGAAGAAAGATGGAACCTAGTAGGATTTTTTCTTCTGCATTTGGGGGTAGTGGATTATCACAAGGCAGTACTTGAGCACTATTGCTGACAGAAGGTTTTATAGTCCCCATTTTTTCCCCCTTTGCTCTTTACTTAGTTTGGCATAGTCATTAATATTGCAACCCTCCACACAAATGATCAAACAGAGGAAGAGTGTGTGGGGTGAGGTTATGGTGGCAGGAACCGGATTGAGCCTCTGATTCCAGTTGTGCTGCTCTATTGCTGAGCCTGACATCCCAGTGCTGTGGAAAAAACGAAAGATTTCACTCAGGGGATGAATTAATCACTTTATTATTATTGTAAAATCATAAAAGAGACAAAAATCACCACACAATTCAACACATATTTGTTAAGTTGAGCTTAAAGGCTAAGTTTTAAACCACAGCTTGACAAAATAATTCTCAATACATGGTCCAATTTACTGTTTGTTTCTGAACCTTTAAATCCGATCTCATGGCCTTCCTCAGCGGATGTAGTTGCTCTGTTCTTTCTTGTTGTTTCAGGTTTTATTTGTATTTGGAATGTGGGTTATACTTTTCCAATGTCTGTTTTCAGCCTGGGCTAAGCTTTTTTAAACTTTATGAAGTACTTTGTGACCGCATTCTCTTGAACAGTGATTTAATGGTAAATAAAAACAGTCATGATTTCTAGTGGGTGAACATTGAATGGCAAATAACCACCAAGATAGACTAAAATAAAACACATTTTAAGAGAAATGTTCATTCAGGCTTTAAATCTTTAAATGACCTTATTGTTGTTTCTGTTTTCCTGAAACTGTGACACAACAGTGTGGCAACAAATATATTGTTTTGATCCATGACGGAGAAATCCTCTTTTTACTTAAACACCTACACAGAGGATGTCAAAGGTCAGGCTCAGCACAGCCTCTAAGCTGTCACGCCTTGAGTGCACTGCCCTTAATCATCATTACTGTGCTAAATGTGTACATGAAGAGTAACACCTATGGAGGAAAATATATATTACAAAACTTGAACTATTATTTTGCATTGTTTGAGAGATTACATCATCTTTATATCTTGTGTATCGGTACAGTATGTTTCTTTTTACAAAATACAGTAACGTGGATATACATTTTATTTATAATTATCAGTACACATGTTAGTGTATTTAAAGTACTTGCTGAATAGACTGCTTCTGTCTCACAGGTTTTAGAAAATATTCCAGGTTGTTTTGTTTTTTGAAAAACCTACCCTAATATATCAGATAACACAACACTAATCTGTCAATCACATACTTTCCTTTACCCATAAATTGTTACCACACCATCCCAGATGCTTTCCAAACTTCAATTAATGTCTCCACACATCAGTTTCAAGCTGCAAATTCCCCTCTTCCAAAAATGAAAACATTCACATAAGAATAGACAGTTTAAACAGGTGCCATGGTAACATAATCGTCACTGCAGCAATTACTGCCTTATGCCTGACTAACAGCCATAAATCATTCTTTCTCTACAAAGAGGACGTTGTGGTGCTCCACTCCCATCCAATAATCAGAAATTGCTCCATGTACGGCGTGACGAGTGGGCGCTGAAACAGCCCATTCTTCTGTTTGGCGGACGATATTTCGCTCTCTATGGCGACATTACAGGGATCCTTCAGCGAGCTCGATATTGTACCTGCTCGACACCTGTTAGCTTTAGCCAAGGGTTTCATCAGATAGTTGAAATAAATACTAGTCATCATCATAACCATAATCATAGTCATAAAAACCAGGGGCCTTTATGTTGTTGCCAAATTGCCCTGCCATCTGATTTACAGTCGGACTGGGTGGGGAGGGGAAACAGATAGGGCAGGGAGGAGGATGGGGCCTATTACGTGCTGGGAATGGCATAAATACTCAAATATACACACCTGCAGACCACCCGTCTCACACACACAAACACACACCTGGGAACTTGCAGGCATGTAATGGCTGGGGATGGGCTTGAGGGAGGAACACTGAGGAATTCTCTTGGGATTACAAAGAGGAACATTGTACTACCCTCACACACAGTACAGCAGGTGAATATAGTGATAAGGGCCAGAGGACAAATTAGCCCTCATATTAAAATAATCCCTCATGTCTAATAACAATAATATGCTCCACACTGAGGCTATAGCACGTTCACAATGGTCTTCCTTTTCGGGCAGCAACTTGTTGAAAACAGATTTGAGTGTTTGCGAGATGGGCCTGTCATATCTGCTCGGCCTGTCATCAGTCCTGAAATACACAGAGGTTAGAGTAATGGATGCCAATAACTGCAGTAAGGAGGCAGTCTGTGTACACTCAAAATCCTGACCAGCTGTTTGATACAAAAGTGAGAGCCAATGATGCAGCAAAAAGACATCTACAAAGAGCTCCACCAATTTCACTCAAGCTCCAATTAGGAGTACTACTCAGCCTGTGAAAACAGCTGAAGGCTTCAGTGTCTTCTGTGCCTCTAAAGGGAGTTAGACCCAGATGATGTCATCAGTGCTCGAGACTTACCATTTTAAAAGAAAGCCTGCATTACAAAACAGAGTGTGGGAAGAAGAGGGCATTTGGGATGCAGGAGGGGTTATCTGGACATAATCTTTCCATTTGGATCAAATATAGGAATCAGTGTTTTTTTTTGTTTTTGCTTGATTCATACTACGGACTAAAAGCTCTGCCTCTACTACTACTGAAAGTGCAATATCACATACTGGAGTAGTCTTTTAAAGGATACTGAAATGCTAACCCCAAACTCATTTGAGAATCAGGCCAAATTTCTGCCAGATCAGTGGTTGTTTGATGTTCAGTTTGAAGGGTTTCAGGACACGTGATTAGTTGCCTCAAGGATCAACAATCTGGCTCATGGACCATCGAGTTGGATTTCTGGCAGGTCCAAATATTTTGTCGGCTAGCTGTCTTGCAGTTTGAGCAGTTCCATGGTCCGATTTCCCACATGGCTGCTGTAAAAAGATCCATTGTAAACTTTAGTATGCTTATTTAACCGTGAGTAGTGTTTTAGAATTGTTATGGCTAAAACTGTAGTTTTGACTGAGATAGCTGTGATATAAAACTGAATTTTGTGGCAGAACAGATAGATCAATATCTGCACCTTAGTATTCTTAATTTCTTACGAATTGCACAAAATACTGCTGCAGTTCTCTCTTTCTGTCTACATTGTTTAGAATGAGGTTGTCTTGTTATGAGCTTAGTGTGTGCACCATTTTGCGGCTGGTCAACTGATCCGTACAGTGTGAGCAAAAAGGTTTCTCGCTGTGCAGAAAGACCAGTTAAAACCTGTAGTGTGAGTTGACGCAGCTTAAAAGAAAACTCGTAGGGTGATCAAGGTGCATTTTAAGAACTTTAAGGTGTGTCCACAGAAAATAACACTGGAGGAGTTTATTCAAAGTGTCTATTGTGTTGGGTTTGGCAGGTGAGACCAAGCATAGAAAACAGTAACCACAAGACGCCTGAATATGTCAGACAACTGAAACTTTAATTAAATGAAAGCGCTACAATTAAGCGTGTTATAGCAGCCAACTGTGTTCAGATAGGTCTTGTGTTCACACAAGGCATAAACATCACAGATATAAATTAAGAGTCCATGTCTTATTGTGAAGTAACGGGGGAGTTACATTTGTTATGACATACTAAGGCACTAAGGTAGACCCAAAGTGGTCACTAACATTTCTATCTGATGGTTGTCTCACAGGTTGACCCCTCACAACACAGCAGATCAAAACATTAACATTATAGTGAGACCGTCTTCTTCGTTTCAGTCTCATCCCGTGGGAATCAAAAGATGCTCTTCCATGGTTGTGTTTTACTGTTGGATTAAGAATTTCTAAAAAGGTGCATAGCATGGCTATTACAATAAACTGTGCCTACAGAGGAGGGCCATAAAACCGCCTTTACGGATTCTAAGCTGTGCAAAACTGGAAAGATGAAAAATGAAACATGCACAAACAACATATAGAGGAAAACAAAATCTGCTGAATCACAACATGCGTATTTCCATGTATACAACAGACATTTTCACATGTATTAAATTTGTAGTTTGGCCCCAAAGAAAAGTTTTAGATTCTAAGTATGTTTTAATTTACTTCAACTAAAGCAAATGAATTACAACTTGCTTATAATAAGCATCAAGAGGAGTTGCAGGCACATAATCTGTTGGATCAAACACACGCTGTAGAGAAAATACAGCAGTTACTGCATGTGTTCACTGTAAAATGGAGACATCAGTTTCTGATGGAAAACATCAACAACACACTGTGTTTTAATGTCTGTCACATTGCAGTTAGAGAAGTAACACTGAGATGAAACTATGTACTGTTAAACAAAAGCCAAAATCAGAGAGCTGGAATGACGATGCTGGGAAACAACAGAAAAATGTGTTAGTCAGCATCTGGAGTTATTTCAAACTCAGTGGATGTAAACTATTTTTCAAAGTCAAAATGTGAAAAGCTCAGGAAATCTCTTTTAATGCCATCTCAGCACCAGATCTGAGACGTGCATCGAACCGTGCACTCGCTTCTCATAAACATGTTTTTACATTGGCAGCAATAATGTCCAGCAGCTCTTGCAACAGACGTTCACTTGAACAGACACCAGGTCCTTTCGTACAGTCAAGTAAATCATCCAAAATCTGGCCCTGTAATACTTTCTCTAACACCATTGAGGATGATATCTAAGATGATTTCATGTTAAACAACTTGATAAGGAAGTGACTGAAACACTGGTATGGAATGATACGTTTTATAAAGGCTTATTACAGTACAATAATATCCCTTCGGTCAGGTCGGAGCTCCTCTATGGTTTTGAGGCGTTCTGCATTCGTAGTCGCCTCCTTGCCAAGGCTTCCTGTTTCTTCCTCTCAATCTCGGCTGCAGAGCACTTCCCTGTCATCTGGCTTGTGACGAAAACTGGAAAAGAGGAAGGAAAGTGAGAAAAATGAATGGAAACACTGAATAATAGGCTAGGAAAGTCTGAGAATTAAAACACATTAGCAACGACCTAAAGGAAAAAAGGTGAATCTGCCCTAATTAGAACTTGTGCGTCGTTGCTATGACCTTGAACAACTGAGTTTTAATTTGTTAATATAAAAATATTGCTACTATAACTGACACCAGTGGGTACCCGTGGTGAAGCTCATTTGGAAGTACAGAAAAACTCCATCACTCCATGTCCAGAAGAAAACCAGTCTACAATTCACTGGCAATGAAGCTTCCTGAGGTTTGGACTCTTGACAGCATCACAAATTAAAGCCATGGCGCTATGTTTACTTGCTTTGGGGGAGAATTGTTCATGTGCACATGCACTGAACTGTCGATGATTATAAGAACAACATGTGACATCTGTTTTACTTGTGAGTTTTCACTTCAATATCCAGTCTTATACCAAAGTAGTGAGGACAGGGAATGGAAGATAACTACAAAGAGTTTACCAAATTAATCATTTAACAAGAATAGTTAAAAGCACTGAACTTTGTCTCAAAGAAAATACTTTTTCAATACGTTTATCACGTGTTTTCTCCAATTTCAGATAATAATTATAATACATTTTATGTGTAAGCGCTTTTCTGGACACTCAAAAGACACTTTACATAAAAACAACATAAAAGCAGCAAAAACAACATCAAATAGTAAAAACACTAAAAACACATCGGATTAAGCTAAACATTAAAAGCAATTTTAAAAAGGTGAGTTTTTGTCAATGATTTGAACGCTGGAAGGTCGGTGCAGTCACAGATTTGTTTGGGGAGAGAGTTCCAGAGGGAGGGGGCAGCTACAGAGAAGGCTCTGTCGCCCCAGGTTGGGTGCTTGGTCCTGGGTGGTGGAGTCAGGAAGTTTGCATTGGATGGGCGGAGGCTACGGGATGGATTGTGGCGGTGGAGCAGGTCAGTGAGGTAGGAAGGGGCCTGGTTATGGAGGGCTTTGTGTGTGAGGAGGAGGATTTTGAATTGAATTTGTTGTGGGGCCGGGAGCCAGTGGAGGTTCTGGAGGACAGGGGTAATGTGGTCACGGGTGCGGGTGTGGGTGTGGGTGAGCAGACGAGCAGCAGAGTTCTGGATAGGCTGGAGTTTATTTAAGGTTTTGGATGGTGTGCCGAAGAGGATGCTGTTGCAATAATCGATTCTGGAGGTGATGAAGGCGTGGATGAGGGTTTCTGCAGCGGAGAAAGAGAGTGATGGGCGGAGTCGGGCTATGTTTTTGAGGTGAAAAAAGGCAGTTCTGGTGATTTGGTTTATGTGGTGTTCAAAGGAGAGGTTATTGTCAAAGATGACTCCGAGGTTGCGACTGTGAAGGGATGGAGACAGGGTGGAGGTGTCGACAGTGAGGGAGAAACTGTGAATGGCTTTAGTGATGGATTTGGGACAGATGATGATCATGAATGATTATCTGTTTTGCTTTGAAGAACAGAAGTCTTCATTAATTTTACTTATGGCTTCTTCTTTAACAAACATGCAGTTATGTGTAATATAAAACATTTAAACTAACCCTAATTTACATTATCTTCTAACGTATGTATCATGCTTTAATACCAATATCAACATTCAGACTGCTTACCTTTGTTGCTTACAACTGCCGAGTCAGATACATTTCTCTTGAAGGCTGTGTGATGGGACTTGGAGTTCTGTGGTGTCCTGGCTGTCACTGTATGTGGCTTCACATCCACTGGAGCTTTCCCAGCCTGGAAAGTTCCAGAGAAATCCTTACACCGGCTAAATGTGCCCAGACTCATGCGGCTTCCTGGGAGGCTCTGAGACATCCAGGATTTGTTGCTGGCACCTTTCATGGGAACGTTCCATCCTTGGTAGTTCACAGCTTCACAGCTAGTCCCCGGTAATGAGTTAGAACGGACAAAAGCACACGGTGACTGTCTATTAGCACTGGCAGTGGTGTTCACGGACCAGGTCGTGTCGATTGGAAGAGGCGCGGTGGTTTTTCGCTCTCTGTCTACATCGATATCTGGTTTTTTTTGGCAGCTGCTGCCGCTCACTTGCTGTGGTTGACTGTTGGAGATCCTCTCCACGCTGTCACATACCTGGTAGAGCAGCGCGTCATCGTCTCCATCATCCCATAAGCTGTCTGAAATATCTTTAACAGAGTCTGCAGCTACACAAGTCTCTTTCTGAGCATTAGAGATATTGTCAGGTTGAGGAGTAGACGGTGTCTTTGTGGTTGCAAATTTTTGCTCAGACATGTGTGGTTTAGGTTGCATAACAGTGAAGCTAGAATTGGAAACCTCCTTGGCAGCTGCCTTGGGCTGGAAGTGAGGGTTGGGCCCTAACTTGAAAGTGCTTCGGTTGGTAGTCTTTGGCTTGGGACACAATTCCTGGAGTGCACTGCAGCTTGGCTTGGAGTTCACGTTTGAAGGCTGGTGTGCAGAATGTGTATTTGCAGTGGGCTTGCAACCAGAGGTGAACTGAGTAGTGTTTGCTTTAGAGTTAGACTGCACGGTGGTTTTAGGGTTTGTGTCACGTTGATGGTCAAGATTCTGTGTCATCGCCAGCACAAAAGAGTCATTAAGTAGGAGGTCATCATTTTCCCAGTCGTCATCAAAGTCATCACAGTTGTTTGCGCTGAAACCACAAGATCCTTTTTCTTCAGCAGGATGTGCAGCCGGGCCAGACTCGTCAGCTGACTTGAGCTGTGATTGTCGGGGTTCAGCTGAAGTTGAAGTCACAGGTTGGTCTTTTATTTCCTGTGAACAGGCGGATGCTGAGGAGCCCTGACTTAGCCGGCCGCTAACTCTCTGAGTGGAGCAGTCGAACAGAGCGTGCAGCTCTGCCTCTAACGGATCCGATGCGGACGGACACTTAAGGTCTTTCACATTGCTAGGGAATGAGGTCTCTGTCAGTTTTGTTTTGGAAGTGTTCCCACGTTCATTGAGGTTGTTGTTGACGGCGTTAAGCAGTTCTGAAGTCTCCCTGTCTCGTTGCATGTTCTTGTCAAACTGCCTGGCTAGTTTCATGAGGTCCTCCACACTGCTCTGCCTATAGAGAGGAAAATAATGTACAATCAAACAATGACAGAAAAATCATAACAAGTATATCATACTATATGCATATAGTGTTTGTTAATATAGGGAATAAAACCACAGTTTTACAGTCAGCGACTGTCTGGGAATAAACTGATTACGCACCGAGAGGACTTCTTCCTGGCTCTTGGCTTTGGAACGTACGGTGTGCAAGGGACGGCACTGTCACCTATCCACTGCAGCAGAGGAGATTCAGTCCCTTTCCGTTTCACTTCCTGTGTAAGACACAAGCAAGAAGTTGATAAATGCATTTCAAAATGAACTGAACAAGCCTGAAATATTCCTACAGCACACAGAACTAAGTTAAAGGGCCAATTCAGACGTGTTGATTCAGTGGTTAGTCAAATGTTTGTGAGGAAACAACTGACCTTTGGAGCAATTCGGTTGACAATATCTGATATTTCCACAACTCTGGTGTTCCTGTGCCCTGGTCCGGAAAAGAGATAAAAACAAATAATTATACTGACAGCACAAAAATCATTGTAAATAAAGTTGTAACATCATTATTCATTTTCACTCTAAATGCACAGTAGGACCTTTTTAAAAAAAAAATGTTTATGAAAAGAATTCAGCAACAGTCAATTTTACGGATTCTTTCATATGCTTGGCCATGGAATAATTAGTTGCATCAATGTAACCACATCGTAAAACAGCAAGTATGTTCAGCAGGTGTGCATTAGTCTGCCATTCAGATGGGATTTCTGTGTAGAGTATCGGTGTCGTTTACCAGTATTAGCCGGAGTGGGCGATGTGGGATCCCAGAAAATGTCTTGCGTTGGTTCCACATCACCTGGAGAATCCCCATTATGCAAGCCCAGATATCTGCTGCAGCCTCTGCGCATAGGGCTCTGCAATTCTGTGCATCACACAGATATCACACATATCAGCTAGATTAAAAAAAACAGTCACAGTCCATTTACTATGATTTGTTATTTTGGTGCATTTAACTTCACATTATGCATTAATTAGACTGGTAAATGTGTCTAGTGTAACCACTACACATTGAAGCACTCAAGCATCCAAATACAGTCTCATTCAGAAGCTCTGTTCCTCGAGTGTGTCAATAACTCATAATACCTGTGATTGATAGAAACGGTTAGTGGTGTGTATTGTGATATTAGTTAAAACAAGAGGTTATAAAGTCATGTAGCATGCTCTCGCTAGTATCGGGTCAGATCGCCTAATGGCCGCCGCCACCCCTCCATGTATGCAGATAGGGGGTCTTTAACGTTTTCAAGCCCATCACTTTATTCCGTTATTCAGCTACACGCGCTGAGCGGCAGATCGCTGCACATTTGAAACGATCCGCAGCCTCACCTTTACACACGGGGGGTGTTGTACTGCCAGGCATCTGCTTTCCTGTTTTCGTGTCTTGTATTTCGCTGTGGCCAAGTTTGAAACCACTCCTCCACAGGTCAGTGAACTCAGCAGTGGCCGCAGCAGGGTCTACCGTGGTTCACTAACACAGCAATAACACCGCAACCTCTGCTCGACATGGTTGTATCAACTGCGGCGACGACGCTCCGTGGCTTTAAACAGCGCGGCCGATAGTTTCTGCTCAAAGTTTGCTCATGTTTTCGCCAAACACTTCTGTTGTGGTCTTTGAATGTAGCTCTTCATTCGAAGCGAGCCGCCATGTTTTGCCGCTACGTCATCAAACTACGGGTGCCTGGCAGGTTCGACGCGACGGCGCCCCACCCACACACACACACACACACACACACACACACACACACACACACACACACACACACACACACACACACACACACACACACACACACACACACACACACACACACACACACGTTTTTCAAGAAGCAGGCGAAGCTTTGAGCAGTTGTGTGGTAACGTTATGGACGAATATACGCACCCCACTATTTCACATATATTTAATATTTTATGGCCCGAGCACTAAAATGTTAGCGCGAAAAAAATACTAATGTTTCCCAGACTTCATACAGTGGGCTATAAGCTAGTTCATGAATGGCTGTGGATTTTATCCAGAAACAGAACATCATGTTCATTAAATATTATGACAGACAGCCTGCTTCTTCTATACAGGTCTACCCATATGTTTGGCCAGTAGTGGTGCAGGCTTTATTGGGCCTGACGCTTGTTTGTTTGCGGTAACTTTGTTGTGAAGGCTGTTGCGTGTGTGGATTGTAGGCACAATTCATATAGCGCAGAGGTCTGTTGAGGTCAGTACTAAGACTGTAACTTTGTCTGCAACTGGTTTCCCTTTTTGAATATCAGACTGGTGAGGATCGGCCTCCACTGTGCCTTTGTCTGCAGTCAGTGTTATCCCTTCAATAACAATCAGATATCAGCAGTTCAGATTAGGCAACTTCTAATAGAGTCAATGTGAGGATGTGAGTTTACTTATCAGTATGAAATAGTTCTTTTGTTTTTCTCTTAATGTCAGACATTTGAATGTCCTTCACCAGGAATAATGATGAAAATAAGTGCAGAACTTTATCATTCTATCCCAGAAAAAGTCTGATGTGTTGTATGATTGTAAATATGTTTGAATGTTGTCAACAAACCAAGACCAAAAAACAAAATAATAATAGGAGTTGGAATGGAAAATCTGGGATGGTCTCATCTGCTTTACAGTTGCTAGCATAAGAATTTCATTTGCATTAGTTTTAATTCAATTTAGTGTCCCATCTTGTTTTCAGTCATTCAAATATGCAGAATACTGGCACATAATATCAGCTATTGGCATTCTTCAATCCAAAACAATCAGCCTTCAAAAAGCATTTTTTTGTTTAAAGACCCTCTTGAGCTATGATTGAAAGTATAATTTGACTGGAATGATAATTTGTGTCTGATATAGTTTTTCCTTGTTAAAAAAACATTAAAATTACATTTATTCCCCACCCATAAATGCTGATTCCTTGAATATTTTTAATTTCAGAAGCTGTACGACTGGACACAAGATGTCACTGAAAAGTGTATGTGCAGTGGAGGGTTTAAGTTTCCACATCACACTCATAACTGTGATCGATCCAATATGCAACATTTTGTGATGTCAGAAAATCATTCCTGTAAATAAATGCCTTACACTCAGATTTAGAGAAACACACAGAGAAACTTTTCTCCTTCAGCAGATGATTATGAAAGCAACCTTCTAGTGTCCAACTATCATTCTGCACAGTGAAGGTTAAACAGCCAAGTGAACTTTAAACCTCCGTCACTAGATACGCTCTCAGTGGTAACAGTCAAATGTCTGACTGCAGGTCACTGAGGTACAATAAGGCAAGACCTTTTAAATAACCAATCTTAACTGCTAGGCATGTCATAATACCAGAATATAAGTCATCGATACCAATACCATCAATACCAATATGATACCACGGTCAAAAACAAAACAATACATCCAAAGTACTTTAACATATACACCTTTTTATTAAAAACATTTGAACATTACAAAAAATAACAACAGTGCCCCCTTTTTTAATAGATGTCTTACTTAATTCACTACTTAAATCACAAACTACTTAAGTCTGCTCACCTTGCTTTTTCATTCAGTACTCTTTTCCACATACGCACGCACCTGCTCTGGTCTGTGTCTCTCTCTCTCACACACACACACACACACACACACACACACACCCATACCCATATACCGGTTTCTCTCTCCCTGTATGTGTCTCTGTTGACTTTCTTCAGCAGTAAGTTTTATAAAGTCGGCCAAAAAAACACAACTTGTGTTGAGATTTGTCCACCTGCGATTCGGTTTTTACAACAGCAGGTGAGCCGCGTGCGAAGAAGGGCTTGTTGTTAATGATGCCTATCAAAACGATTGAAACCAACATGGTACCGAATAACATTCACACCTGCTGATGTGTTTACTGCTGTTCACTCTTGCTTTACCTGGTCTGTGCTTGTAAAAAATCCACTGTTTCTGTGCCAGAGAGTGTCTGTCTCTGTTTCTCTGCATAGCATTTGCAACTCACTAGACTATACAGGAGGTGCCCCGTCATGTCTGGAAGAATTGATTTCCCGGTATTTACCATTAACAGTATATATGATAGCTTAGACGCAGCTTCTGTGTCTGTAAAGTGAAGCCAGCTCAGAAGTGTCTTAAAACCTGCATTCTATGTAAAGGCCAGCAGGGGGAGCTCCATTGGCTGCAATAAAAAACAATACCTTGCAGTCTAATGAAGAAATGACCCGACTTCTCACTTGATTTATTAGCTCAGCAAACAGTTTCCTAACAAGTTTATGGTCTCAGTCGCTAGTTTCTAGTCTTCTTCTATACAGCAGGATGTTCATTTTGTAAATTATGGTCCAATTTAGAATAAAATAGACGATAAAGCAGCATATGCTTTTGGTCGTGGCTACCTTGTGATTGACAGGTCATTCTCAGTGAGTCTGTCCAGGGCAGCGCAGATCAAACTGTCAGACTAGGCAGTGCTGATCAAATACGAAGCAAGATTCTGTTACTGCGTTGCCTATTTCTCACATAAAATTGCTTCAGAAACATATTTCAGTGTACTGTTTAGCTGTAATACGAGATTGTTTGTGACCGCCATTGTTTCCTGCTATGGACAAGTCAGAACTGCACAGCCAATGAGAGCAACTCAACTCGCAAACCAATGGGTGACATCATAATAAGTTCATACTTGGTGCCTACGGTACTGTAGAGAAACGAGTGCCATCATGTTTTCAGAACTTTGGCATTGACTCTGTACCAAAGTATCAGTTGTCAGCCTTGATATCAAAAGTCAAATAAACTATTACAATGCACTTATGTCAACAAGGATTTTTTGAGCCAAGGTGGCTGATGGGTCGGAGGTTTATCTTTAGTTTTAGTATGTTTAAGGAGTGAACATCGGTGTCATTATCTTAGTCTGATGGATTTACACTTCTTATTAAAACACATTTGTCAAACCTGACATCCAGTTCTGAGTACTTTGAACACTACATTTGTCTTTTAGAGTTGTCATTATGTTTTTTATTCATCTAGGATTTCTCTTGTAATGTTTGTTTTCACTCAGTACTACAGAAACGTTTAGCAATTACTTTTGTTTGTTTCTTTTAGTTTGTCCTTCATACTTGGAAGGGGAGGTTGAGGCAAGTGAGTGCAATTAAACCGCTAGATGCCACTAAACCCTACACACTGGTCCTTAAAGAAACTTCTTATGTGTATGTTTGGTTTGGGGAAAAAAACTATAGCCTATTGTGGTCAGTTCAGTCAGAATCAAAAGATGTCTTGGAGTGTATTTGGAGCCAAACCTTAGTAATATTTATCCTTTAAACCATATTTGGCATTCTGCTGGGTAAACGTTCAGAGATGTGGCTTTTTGCATGCGTCTGTGCATCTATGGCAAATGAATAATTGCTTTAGTGGAAGCATGTTATTAACATTTGAGTGGATGATTCCAAATAAGTCCTTGTGTTGTTGAAACTAGTCCATGTTTCCACCATAGTCATCCTCTTATCAGTGGAAGTGGACTAAAGGATGATTTAGATTTTCCACTGAACACACTGTATGTCTCTTTTGATCAAGACTATGATATTTGGACCCTATTATTCCTGAAGGGAAAACAAATTAATAATTTTTAAGTCACTTGATATAGTTTTGTTAAATATGTTTATTCCTCTTACTGTGTGAAACCCACATGTATTTTACCATAGAGGTCAGAGGTCAGGGCAGTTAAGAGTAGCAAGACAGGATTTGAAATGTCAGTATCAGTTATTCAGTAATCAGTTATTGTGTATTATTCTATTTTGCATTTAAGCAGATTTGCTGAATGTGATGGGTTTCGTGTTGATTTTATTTTATTCTCATTATGTGATGTAAAATGAATTCACCCTCTTTCTGCTTTGCTAATTTTGAAAAGAGCTGAAGAATCTTCAACTCTTCAACGATTTTTCAACACATTTCTGACATTCTGCAGAGCAATTTCCAGAATAAAGCACTAGATGGTGCTTGTATACCTCCTTGGTATTGTGTGTGTGTGTGTGTGTGTGAGAGAGAGAAAGAAAGAGAGATACAGTAAGTAAAGTCAGTGTTGAGATTTGTGCAGAAAATGTTTAACTGCTATCGTGGTCCTTCTGGAATATTTTGTAATCGACAGTGCGCAGAAACACACACACACACACACACACACACACACACATACATACAAGCTGCAGTGAATTACTATGCTTGATTATACTTGATTCTGCTTTGATTGTTTTCATTTGGAAGCAGTTTATCAATGTAGAGAATTGGGGAAGCCAATCAACTGTGTTTCTTTGATTGAATGCCAGAAACCGTTATGAACAGACGACCTGTAGCCAGAGCCTCCACTTCCCTGGTTAAAGCCTAATTCTTGTTTCATCAAAACATCAGCAGATATTTAGCCACCACTAAGGATAAATGCATGGGAGTCAAGGGCAACTGCAACATGTGTCATCTTTCGGGGGAAACTCATTCTCATTTAGTGAATCAATGGCATCGTTGTTGTAGGGAAGAAATATGAAGAAAAAAATTCTGGTGCCCCAGATGTTGATATAAATGTGCTATTGTTTTTGTGGTTATCATTTAAAAAAAGAAACCATATGTCAGACGTTCACCATACAGCCAAACAACCAGCAGAATATAGGTGATAGTAAATAGTGAAATAGAAATTTTAGTGCACCAATAATAATTTAAGTGCTATTTCATCATTAGTTTTCCCACCATGACCTGGGTTGAATTCTGGGGCAAAAACATATTTAAATTTGAATATACCCTGTTTTCAGTGAATCAATTAATTGTGCAGTCTATAAAAATAATATAAAATAACACAAAAACCATAACAACAGAAGTGCTTTTATTAAAAAGTATTGAAATAACAGCACTTCCTGCCAATGAACCAGTGAATATTTGCATTTTTCACAACTTTATGTCTTCTGACTAATCATTTAAGCACTTACATTTTAAAAAATGCATTTCATTTATTCATCCATTTCTTTCCTTAGATGAACATGACTGTAGTGATGCCGTACACAACAGCACATTTAGTCCTATAGGCCATTGTCATGTCAGTGGCGTAGCTGTTGTCAATGTTAAACAGGTTAACTGGAACTGCCAGTGTGGATATAACAGCGATTTAATCAACAGTTAGCTACGTTTCATGCCTCCCTTTAATGCATTCAGCTAATCTTGGGGGTATCCCCATTGCTCTGTCAAGCGAGCTGTGTCATATCACGCTGCCACGCAAATCCACGCCTGGGGGGTCCATCTCCTGCCCGTCTAAAAGTCACCATAACACCCTCTGTCACACTGAATGTTAGCATTTCTCAGAAGTGATAGTTAGACCACAAAATAAAGGGCATGGTTGTGTCAGTTTGAATTTGAATATGAGGCATCAGCCCTCTGCTGCCTTGTGTTTATACCCGCTCTGTCTTTTCCCCTCCTCTACAAGCCTTTCCAAGCCGTGTCACGGCAGAAAAAGAATTGCCAAAGGCTGCACAGGGAGGAGAGAGGAAGAACAGTTTAGCCCGAATTCTCCAAGCTAGCTTGATTCTGTCTCAGATGCCTGTCTCTTCACCTAACTACCTACCGCCTTCTTCCATTTATTGGTTACGCCTGGGTTGTTTAGAAGCAATTAAGGAGCTAATTGTGGAGATTTCTGAGGACCGGGTATTATAGTAAAAAGTAAAGAGCTAATGGCTAATTGCCCAAGCAGCTGCTAGTGTTTATGAAGGAGGAGCGAACATGCCAGGGGATCTACCAGGCGTAGACAGCAATGAGGACAAGGAGGCTTGTGTATGTGTGTGTGTGTGTGAGGTTGGGGGGGGGGAATCATCATTGCTGTGGATCCCAGGGATGGTTCACACTGGGCAGATGCCAGGTGAGTGAGACAAGCTGGAGAATATGAGGCTCAACTCAGAATAGTGTCTGCATAAATAATAATCACCTCTGATGGCCTCTGGTGCCGTCTCTCCAAGGAGTCCATGTTGTCTTCCATGTTTGTATGTGAAGGGTATATCCCAATGTTTATACCACCCCCGTCTACTCCCCCATTCTCCCTCACCCCCCTTTGGGCTAGCAGTGCCTCATGGATGACAGTTAGCATGTGGCAGAGCTCTCTGAAGTGGAAGGGATCCAGGAGCTGGGTTTCTGTGCCAGCTTCACCAAGCTGGGATTTCACCCATTTCACAGTGTTTGCCAATGGCTGGGACTGTGAATGAAAGCATTTGAAACAATGCCTGGTTCTGCAGTGTCAGATCAGTGGGCTTCAACAGTGGTTAGATGCAGCCTAAGGTGGTTTGGCGTCCAGGAAGAATCCCAGCAGCCCTTTTGGTCATACGGGGCAAAAAGGAAGTGCTAAAGGGCATCCAACTGCACTCTCAACCAGCAGTGGATGGTTGAGATGAAGAGGAGGAGGAAGATGAAAAGAGAACATCAAAGCAGGACAGTTGTGGTCTCATTTTCATTTGGCTTTTCTGTGCCATTATTTTGCTGGCCAACATGAGTGGTATGATTTCAGGATTCTGAACAAGCCAAACATTTACTCAACAGTGAGATAGAAGGGTGTCAAAATGATGAAATAAGAGCTCAATTTGTCACAATAGAATTATGTTTACTTCAGATATCCCTTAATATTTGTTGCTCTACCTAGCAGGTATGTCTTTTATAGGATAACTCCTGTGGAAAACTCAAACAGTAGTAAGACATCAACCTCACCATCCAAACTATTTGACTGACGGATGATCTCTAGAGAGCGCCATGCAGAATGCAATGATTAACTTAGCAACAAGGATGGGGAAAAAAGAATCTCCGAGTTAAGCAATACCTTTATTTTAAAAATTTCATCCTTTTTATTAGGCTAACCTCCAAAACTTAATGTCTGTAATGAAATAACATAATTTTAGTATATCCAATTAACCTCTGTCTCGACCCCCTTAGGGCTTCACTTAACATAGATTCAACTAAGGTTGTCTTGTCTGCAGCTCTGCTTTAGGTGTTACAGATTATGTGCAAGACCTCTCTGTCACGATCTCCATAGTCACCATTTATGGGCCTACTTGCGATATACTGCTTTATGGTAAACCCTTATCCATATGTGCTGGGCGACGTCATGCAGTATGTAAAGGAGACGCCAAGGAGGAAGCCATTTTGCAGAATTAAGACGCAGCAGCCGTTGTGGAGGAAGGCTAAAGCAAGAGAGCGCAGAGGGGCGGTGTGTCTGCGTACAGCACACTGTAGCAGCAGCCTACTTTGACTGCTCATTTATTCTGTTTATAATAGCAAAGCCGATGATAAATGTCCCGCAGAGTGCACATGTGCTAAAATATTCATCAATTGGAGGCCCCCTAATTTGCGGAGGAGGAAAACCAATAAATTCAGATGTGAGCGGCAGTCATGTTATATTTATATGAATATGCAAGACCATGGGTGGGACATTAAGATTAATCTGGCATGTATGTGCTTTTAACCAATTCTAATGTTTTTGTGTACGAGGGAGACGTGTGAGAGGAAGGTGAGAAGGTGCCAACGAAGTGGGCTATGCTTTCATGAAGGACCTCAATGGAACCGCAGTTTCGCTAATGATGTATCTAAATTTTCATGGTTAATGTCAAGTTACAAAAAAATCACTTTAAAAACTTAATATGCATGATCCTCTCTGATTAAAGGAAAAGAGGAGGACTGCTCTTTCCTCTCATTTTGATTATCAAACATATAATAACATAAAAACTGCCCCTCAGCGCTTCGGTTGTGGTGAAATTTGATTTGTCATTATCATGGCATCAGACATATTTTCTTTCTTCCCAAACCACATGGTTTAAAATCTGACTTGATTAATCCGTTTTTCTCAGGGCAGCACTGAAAGTTTTTGGTTTTTTTTTTTTTTTCTTGCCCACAGGTTTTTCTAATTTTCCTCTCGCTGTAATTTCTCTCCTAATCTCCTTCTTTCCCACTGTATTCTTTGTCCTGCTCTCTCCCACTCTTTTCTTCTGTTTCTGTTTTTCTCCCTGTGTGTTTTTCTCACCCTTTCTGCTCAGGTGTGCGGGGGGCCTGGAAGAGGAGGAGGAGGAGGAGGGGGAGGGTGCGGGGGGATTTCTCCAGTCGTATACCCTGCAGAGACACTCTCTCCTGGGGTAAGGATGACAGGAAGTCAGCCAGATGGCACAGAGCAGGTCTGCAGCATGTGACCTCCTCTCTGGAGAGACAGGAAGCGAGGAGGAGAGGAGGGAGGAGCGAAGAGGAGGAGGAGGAGGAGGTGGGGGGGTGAGTTTAAAGAAAGGAGGTGAAGAGATGGAAGAAAGATGTGAGGAGTGGAGCCGACTGAGCCTCTCATATATCAGTGTTAGCGTTTGTTCCACCAGTAAGATCAGGAGCTTTAAGATTGTGATTTATGGTAATATATATTGAAAGTCAATAACATTTTTAGATATATAAATTACCTCTGTCCTGCTTTATATCTCTGTATGATAGAACAGGGATTTAGCATGTAGCTGGTTCTTGAAAGCGTTTACATTCGCTGCACATCCTGTGTTTGATGGGTCTTCTTGCGGAAAAAGAAGTTGTCCGTGAGCAGCAAGTGATGAAATAAAAAAGACGTAACTTATAAGATAAGGCTAGAGATTTTCTTATTGTCAACACGTCCCAAGAAATGACCAAAACCAACAATGAATCAATCGTATGAACACATTTTGTGTAGCTAAATCCTGATACTGTATATCTCATTCCTGCGTGTCATCGAGCTCAATTGTTGTTTAGAAATGATTAAGAACACATCAATGAGCCACATTGTTCAACTGGATCATATTTTTATTTTTAAACATATGCACTGTAGTTATGCCTTAAGTGCTCCACAGCGCACCAAATATGTATTTATCCACGTTCGAAAATAGTCCCTACAAAGGAACTTCGCTGAAAACAACAACGCTCAGCTGTTTTATGAAATTATTTAGCCTTTTCTAAAAACAAAACAGTATATTTATTTATTTTTTAAAGAATGTACATTTTCAGTAAGAACCAATGGACATGGGGAAGCCAGAAAAGTAATGAAGTGAGATTCCATGTAGTTTTTGGCTTTTCGTGGGAATTGTTGACAGTAAGGAAAATATACCCTATCCAAGCCTTATCCTTTAAAAAGCCACCCACACTGTTTGATTGACATATGACTGATGACTTATTTAATCACTAAGTTACCATTGTGACTGAATGTACAGCAAATGTTGGAGTGAAAAAGGATATCATTAATTCAAGAGAACTGTTATAGAGCTTTAAAATAATTATTTACACAACATCAGCTAACACAGATGCAAGAGGGAAATTTAGGAAACAAATATACTGTAACTCAACATCAAAAGCTAATTTGCATCTCTTGCTACATGTCCCGTTCTCTAAATTCAATCCTGTACAGAGTCTATACAGTAAAACTGCCAGTTTGGTGACCTGGAAAAGACACAACTCCATTTCACCCAGCTGGAAGTCACATCACAAGTTAACAGCTCCAATTTGGTATCGACATTCTCAGTGTAAAGGGAAAAAATAAACTGACAAATTTCCCCACTTATTATTATTAACATTCCCATGCACACACAGATTTGCTCATCACATTGCACAAACTTCCATTTCATGCACAACTCCCTGTCTGCCCCAAACCAACCCTTTCCCCCTCCCTCTGTTCCCCTCCTGCCCGGGGTTGCCTTTGATCTAAATTTGGCCTCAGTAGAAGTCTTGTACACAGTCATTTTCATATGGAGGCTTTGAACACACTGATGGAGGGGCCGTTGCTGCCGCGCTCACTTTTATCCTCTGAGCCCTTTTCCCTCGGAACCCGGCAAGCATATGGCGAACACCCCTCACCGGAGTTTCCTACAACAGTGGGGACCGCCCACTCTTAACATCTCCTATTCCCCGAGTTCTCCCATCACTCTGGGTTTAGAGATGTTGGAAATTAGTTACACTAGTGTAGCTATGACAGCGATGCTTACGAGGCAAAGTTTTTTTTTTTTTTTTTACTCAAGAGGCTTTTAAATAGCCAAGTGTCAACAAACTTGAAAAATGAGCAACACAAAGATAAATGCGGTAAATTGATATCTTGATCTCACCCACCTGCTCTCCTTTCTTCTGAACCAGGTTCTATGTAGGCGGTCATCCAAGCGAACCACCAGATGACACACAGGTTTAAATAATATATATTCTAATATTAAATATCTATTTTAGGGTGGAAAACTGATTTTTTTGAATTTGCCCGTCACATTTTTCATTTCTGTGAGTGTGTTAAGGGACATGAAGATCACCTTTCTCGCTCTGGTCTTTCGCTTTGCTGAAACAGAAACCTGCCCATTGTTTGCTAACAGAGAGCTACAGTCTTTTGGTCTCCTCGTCTCGAACTGAGGAGCCGTCATCAGCTGCCAAAATGTCCGTCAAGAGACAACGACCAAAGCAGATCCACTGTATCACAGGCTTTTGGTCAAAGAGATCCAACTGAAAGGATACCTTTTGAAAAGCAACGTTCCCCTGATGCACGCAGAGTTCAGTCCAGAGAGTTGTGTTTCCCCTGTGAAGGTTTCTCTAAACGGGACAAAGATTTGACAGTCAAGGCAGTAAATGACGAATGAAACATATTAAAACCACCAATGAAAATTGGGAGAAAAACTTTTCATTCATCTTTAATCGACGTTAGGCAAAAGTCTTATTCATTTGGAGATGTGGGTTTCTTGGTAAGACTTTTATAAACGCTGCAGACACTTAATAGTATTTTTGGGCTGAAATAAACAAATATGAATGATTTTACATTCCCCTCAAGTGAACAGAAGGAACTTGTGAAATAACAATAAACTTTTAATTTCAATCAAAACCTGATTAGAACTGTCTAGACAGTCATTTTATTTAGTTGATTTCTGGGGATAAAGATTTTAATCTTTACATTGTTAAATAATTTTCTTGTTAGGGCTGTTACACTGTTCGTCTACGAAACAAAAATACATGTGTACTCCGGAAGGGATACAGCATTTATCTCATTACCATTTTTAAAATGTTTACAGCCATTGTCTTCCTTTACAGTGCAAACACCACGCTGTACATGTAAAAGCGCTGCCGGGGTTGTTTTCATGCTTTTATCTTAAATACATTCTTTCCAGATTGTTCAGCCCTAGAAACTGGTAATTACCATATATTATCACCTCCACAAGCTCCACCACTAGGGTTGCCATGTTTGAGGTAATTATATCACTCCCAAGTTGTCTGTATAATCACTTAACAGAAGAAGCAGCCCTGCATTTGTGGAAGCTTTGACACAAACAGAGTTTAAAATCTTTCCTTTTGCCTGGGGGATACACAGATAATATTTGAAATTCACAGGAAAACGTGGGCTGATGCCTGGCCATTTGGCATTGATCCCTTTTCTTTGCCTGGTCTGTGGAAGTTTATGACATTCTCCATAAACTGTTAGCTTTTGTTGACCGCAACCAAAGGAGCAGACATAAAGAAATAGGCAGTACTTCAGTGGCGAATGTAGTTGTTAGGGTGTTTACCGTCTTATCTTTTCAGCTAATGTCATAACCATGACAAGAAATCTTCACATGGCTAACATGACAAAAGTATGGTCAACCAATATCTAATCTATCAGTTCTTGTTTTTAATGTATTTAATCAAATCTACTGTGACTTACTGCCACTGGGATGGGTTTTTCTCAAAAGCTTTGGTTATGAAATTAAAGCATTTTTGCATCATGAGAAGTCTTTACTATATTCACATTTGACATATGATGACCAACAAATGTTTTTCAATGTGAACACCGAGTTTTGGAATGAAACTCTAACATCTATTCTTATAACTTAACCTCACCCTTACCCGGGGCCCATTTAAGGGTTTTAAGATTGTAAACAGCACAACCATGTTGAGACACATCAGTCTGTTTCCGTGCACCACAGACACCATTATCATTCCAACGCTTATTTCAGCTGACTGTGATATTGTGCTGCGTTTCCCTGTTTGGTGTTGTCTGGTTCCATCGCGCCAGCTGTTGGGTTATTTATAACTGTGGTTGCTGATCTAAATGAGCTTGTAATTAGGCAGCAATGCTTTTGAGGAGACATCCGCGCCTTCCCATCCATCCATCCATCCATCCCTCCCTTCCTTCTTCTCTCCATCCCTCTCCTTCGCCCTGGCTCTCACTCTCTCCCTGCTGTCCCCGAACACACCAGGAGACAGGCGCGAGATAAAGGGGAGACTTGACTTCACTGAATAATTGAAGGGGTTTTTACAAGTGAAACAGCTCGCTATCTGACCCCATAAAGGCACCACACGGGGCCCTATCAGAGCCTAACAGAGATACACACATGCATTTGCACACAAATGCACAGTAGTTGTCATTAGGTCAAAGGCTGAGCCTAAAAAAGCCAGACAGTTTTTAATTGGCTGCAGAGATCAGCATTGCCTACCATCAGCATGCTGCTGCTGACGTGCTAAAACTTCACCCTGAGCCTCTCCGAAGAGAACAACAAAACCGAGCTACTGTTCAACAGACACCAGAGGAGTTGTGTTTGTATGTTTTCCCTTAGCTACCAGACCCCCACCACCTCCCCGTCATTACAAAAGAAGACAGGAACATGCCTGTAAGCCGGGTCCCCCTCTCTCCCCGGTGAGCACCCCTTTACCTCATGCTAATTTCCAACTTTCAAAGCTTGTAAACTTTATCTAATTATACACAAGTCGATAGACTCCCTCGCCCGGATTTTTGGCAGGTTGTGGTGTTAATTTATGAAAAACAAATCTGAAATATGCAGATGTCTTTTGTGTGAAGCAGCTGTTTGGTCGTGTTGCCAGGTTTCAATCAGGCAGTCTCTGGGGATGCCTGCGTGTGCGATCTGTGGCCAAGGCCCCCCGTTTGATGTCTGACAGGGACGGAGGGACAGGGCTTAAGCAAGAGTGCTCACCCACAGCCAATCTACAATTACTGTACAGGATGTGTGTGTGTATGTGTACTTTTGCTGCTGTTGTTCAGGGCTTTTTTTTTTTTTTTACAATGACATAATATCGCAAGATATTTTCAGTTATTTATAAAAGTAATGAGGAATAATGAACTGTAATGCTTATATTGAAGCAAATTAGATGATTCTCTCCTCAAAATTGGCAGAAGAAA